ACAAAGTCTGTATCCACTAACAAATTCTCACTCTCCACCATATCTAAGTCTATGTAAGCCTATAGAGTAGCCCTTATAATTAGAGGTTTGCCTTACACTCAGAGGAGGTCACAGAAACCCCCATGAAGATACCTAAACTCAAGGGGTCGTACACACATCATCTTAGGAAGCAAGATATTGTTTATCTCTTTTCATGGTTTCTCCTGATTCTGAATTAGATTTGCTAAACTTTATAAACAAAATTTACTCTTTTCAAAACATTTTCTCAAGGAAAGTTTGTGGTTCGTCTGCCGATGCATGTACGTGCCTTGATTTTAAAGGTTTTTAGGTCTCGACAGATTTCCCAAAAACGCAAACCCATTTCTACATCAAATACATGAATTTAAAGCTCCAAAAGTAATGCGGATCTAATGATTTATAAAGAATTAAGATGTACAAGATAGACTGTTCAAAATTACTTTTTTTCTTATGCTCATGATGGTGGTGGTCAAGATCATAGACCTATAATTTTTTGATCCGCAGCCCATCTCGAATATGGATTATGGTAGGGCAGGCGCACCACTCTATACGACTGGTGTATCTGCAGACCATAGACCTCTCTCAAACTTGAATTATTTCTCTTCTAAAAGATAAGCAGATGAGTTTTTGTTTAGATCTCTCTATATATATATATAGTATTTTGATGTCAAAGAAACTCATGTCGAAGGAACTTGTCTATAGGCTGAGTACGACAAGAAGCATCTATTCGTTTTGTAGAAAAATAACTAAGGGAAGCCAAAATTATAAGTGACTCATTAATTTAGTATGGCTTGGTGACTAGGGTTTAGGGTTTATGTAAATCTTCCCTGGCTTTGTCTTTTAGACTTTGGCCGAGTGGTAGACATATAAGTTTTGAGTGAGGGAGAACAATAATTCAAACTTTTGAAGTTTGGTCCCCAAAAGTTCAAACAAACCTAACCTTCTTTTCCTACGTTACTTGTAAGAGCAATTTGCACCCAATCGGGGATACACTTCTCTCTGTGGGAATAGAGCCTGATTTGAAGAATAATATCTTTTGGTATTCAAAAAATCCACTTTCTGAGTTGCCACTGGCACGAACCTGAGTCAGTTTTTTTACCAAGTATGCTTTCGAATTCATGCATATTTTTATGTATAATTTAAGATTGGAGTTAGTGTGCCATGTCGCCTTTTTAGTGGATTCAAGTTTGAATGAGTAATTTTTTTTTATCGTTGATAGTTTTTGGCTTCTAGCCGACCTCAAATAGTCGAGATAAAGCCAATGATAATGATAGATGTGTTTTTTCTTCTAAATTTAGAAGGTCCTATATTAATTATTAAAAAAACATGCAAATGGATTATTAAAAAAACATGCAAATGGCTTTATATATTAGCATGAGCTAAATCCTAAAGAAAATATAGGTGGGAATTAATGGGGGAGTCAATTTGTTTGGGAGTTTATTATCTTTAAATTCTTTTGATCTACCTCGTTCAAAACAAGTACATTTAAATCTTTGACCAAAGATCTTTTTTTACTTCAAAACGAGTACGTTTAAGCCTTTGGTGTAATTCTTCCCTAGTATTTTAATATGAGTAATGATCCTATGAGACCTTCCCACACCCATAGTAAATGGTCTCCTTGAATACAATCCTTATTATCTAATGCTTTCTTTGGTCACCTATAAATCTCTACATCATAAACCCCTATTTTGGCTTTTATTTTATTTCATTTATCTTTTAATATTTTTTGGATCGCCAATTCAGCCTGATCGATACCCGATCCAGACATGTATCCAACAATTCGATATAAATCAATTTAGACCGATTCATACCCAATCCAAGTCAACGAGCTAACGATCCAACAGAAATCTATGGGACCAACCCGGGTTTTAAAAACACTAGTTAAAAGTTTAAAACTTCAGACCTTCAACGTCTAAAGTTTTTTTTTTTTGCGGAGGTCTAAAGTTTTTAATTTTAGACCTTTAAAGTCAGAAACAAGGGTGATCAGTGAAAAATAACAAAACCCAAAAAAATGGATATGAATATATTTCAAATGGGAAATTTTTAATAATGGTTTAAGGGATATATGCGTATACGAGTCCTAAAAGTAGTGCATCTTATAACACATTATTTGGACTGTCTATTGTCAAGATTTTCATGTGTTTATAGATCTACTTGATTTGAACTATTTTTGGAGTTTACAATTTTATAATTAGATATGAAAATAGATTCTCAAGGCATCCTAAGAACTTTTGACACCAAAATTACATCTTATTATAAACTTTGGAGGTACACCTTACTTTGATTGTTTGAGGTTGCAACTTTTTACAAACCCCACCCTTTAAATAAAGTAAAAATTGTGTATGCTACGCCAGTTGCATATTAGCTCGAAGATCATATGATATGCCGTTGGATAAAAGTACCAAGGGCTTCTTAATTTAAACCTAAGAGAGGCCCTGGTAGGGCCGTAAGTGGGTTTGAGAGGTCCGGGAACTGGCTTCTACCCTAAACAAGGATTCCTCCAAGTCATTGGACTTAGACCCAACCCACAGGATCAGGTCAAGTTGGGGTCTATGGAAAAAAGTTCATATAAGGTTGCAACTTTATAATATAGCAGTACGGTGCCCTTCAAAAATTTAGTAGAAAAGAGTGCTTCAAAGTTAGAAAACCTTCCAATTGGTCATATCTCAACTTCGAGATGTGTAGATATAAAGGAAAAAACAAATTTCAAGTCCTAAAAGTAGCACATCTTGTAGCAATGTATCTGGACCGTCTATTTTCAAGATTTTCAAGTGTTGATAGATCTATTTGATTTGTACCATTTTCAAAATTTTAAATTTCATAACTAGGGTTGAATATGGATTTTCAAGCCATCGTACACTTGAACTACATCTTCCGGTAAATTTAAAGGAGCACCTAACTTTTATAGTATAGGATGGACATCTTATGCAAACCTGGCCCTTTATATACACCTGTTTTGAGTTCCAAATTGCGTAAAAGATGTTTTAAAATGTTTGAACTTCGAATTTTGAAAAAGCATGAAGTTAAGTGGAGCAAAATTATAAAACTCCGATTCAGATTCGTTTTTTTTAGAAGAATAGTTCTTTATCTTTCTAGAGCATAAATTCATTGAATTGACCTCAACATCAGTTTGAAGATTTTAATGATATTTTCTGTAGTTTTTGTTATGTGAAAGGAAATAAAGAGCTTTACATATGATCAACAGAAAGCAATAATTTTTAATAAATAAAATAATAAACACTTTAAAAATAAAAATTTATAAAAACTCCACATAATAATTAAACAATGTGACATTTAACCATATCTTTTATCTATTTTCAAATAGCACTTTGTTATGTTGATTGAATTTCAAATAGCCCAAGATACATCAAAATAATCAAAATAAGTATTGGAATTTATCAAATTATGCATAAGATAAAATAATAAATAGTTCAACTTATAGATGTATTTCAATAAATTTTCAGTAAACAAAAAAAAAAAATTGTTTTTGTTTTTTTGTTGTTAATAGCCTTGAGGTTAATGGCGTTTAAATATCAACATTTTAAAACTTGTTGTTTAGTAATTATGGCATGTTGGGCCTTAAATAGCGAAACCTGTGAAGTTGATAAAAAGATTGTCTTAAAAGAGACCATTTATACTTTGTACATAAAGGTCATACTGATTCTCATTCATTACATGTCAAATTCAATGACTTGAGGTGAGTCATAAAATCTGGAATTTTTTTGTTTTTAACTTTGTGTCTATTTAATGACATTATTACAATCATTCATTTTGAAATTTAAAGGACAAGAATAATTGCAACCTTCATGTACAAAAGATAAAAGACCTTTTTTGGACAATCCCTTATTTTTTATACATGAAGGTGACAATCATTCTAATCTTTTAAATTTCAAAATAGGTGGTTATAAGAGTCTCATTGAATAGACATAAAATTTCAAAAACAATTCTTAGATTTCATGAGTCACCCCAAGCTAATTTATTTGACATCTAATGAATGAGAATAATTGTGACATCCATGTACAAAAAAAAATATAAGGTGCGGTTTGTATAGAGCCTAGGCTCTAAACAATCAAATTAGAACCCACCTTCTAATAGTATTGAGAAATGTGGTTTCAATACTGGAAATCTTTTTTATAGCCTTAAAATATATTTTTTATCTTTATTTATAAAGTTTAAAGCTTCAAGAATATTGTAGGTCGAGAGATCTATGAAAACTTGAAAATCTTGAAAATTGACGGTCTAAAAGTGCATTACATAATAAACTATTTCCAAAACTTGAAATTCAGTTTTTTTTCTCATGTTTATGCATCTTGATGTGGAGATGATGAATTTAAGGATATTTGGGCATCAAAATAAGCTCTTCTAATGACATTTTTGAGATAGGCTCAAATTTGATTGTTTAGAGCCTCTGCTCTATATCAACTTTTCCCAAAAATAAATTGTCTCTTTTAAGACAATCCCAAAAGATAAAATGTCTATTTATATACAATCTCACTTAGGGATTGTCTTAAAAGAGACCATTTATCTTTGAATGTAGTTTGCATAATGTTGCAACATTAAACAATCAAATTACGGTGCACCTCCAAAAAAAAATTTTATAAAGTATAATTTTGGTATAACAAATTCTTAAGATGGCTTGAAAATCTATTTTCATCTCAAATAATATAATTTTAAACTCTAAAAATACTTCAAATCAAGTAGATCTACATACACATAGAAATCTAAAAAATAGACGGTCTAGATAGTGTATTGTAAAATAAACTATTTTTAAAATTAAAAATCTTTTTTTTTCTTTTCATATTCATAGGTCTTGATAGGATTTAGGATTTTCACACACCAAAACAACTTTTTATTATGGATTTTAATGGTGCATTTTAAAGGTGCAACCTTATATGAAATTTTTCCATCTATCTTTTTTGTACTTGGTTTCACAATCATTCTCATTCATTATATATCCGCCCTTTATCATTCCCTTCTCTCACTCTAAACACACCAACTTCTCTCTCTGCAACCACTGCATACTTTCTCTCTCCTCCATTTCCAGGACCATATCATCTTCCTCACACTAAAAAAACACCCCCTGCTCTGATTCCCTCTCTAAAACCAGATGCTCAATTTCCGTCTCTAACTCTCCAACATCCATGAATCGAAGTCATCATCCCCCTCTCTCACACTAAAAACCCCTGCTCCGATTCCCTCTCCAAAACCCAAAAATCACTTCTCATTGTTTCTCTCTCCTCGGGGATTCCAAACCGCGCCCCTCTCTCTCAAGCTGAAAGCACTCATTTTCTCTCTCAAAAACGAGATTCACACTGTTTCTCTCTCTAAGGAATCCATGGCTACTCTCACAGTAGCAGCGACCTGTAATGGCAGCCTGGTCAAGACCTACAGCTTGGAAAGCTCAGCGTCTCATCTCAGAGACGCCTCCTTCTCTTCATATCTCATCAATGGAGATGAAACCAGTTCTCGAAAGCTCTCGGACCAGAACCCGGCTTCCATTACGGCCTCTGAACCTCCTCTTCATCGCCCGAGCTTCAACAAGAAGCTCAACAATGACGGAGAGATAAGGATTTTTGATGCCGAGAAATATTTCAGAGGAGAATTCGCCATGAATTTGAAGACAGAGAACCTAAACCAGCAAAATGGAGAGAACGCACAATTTGAAAGGACCCAAATGAACCAAAGAAGGACTAGGGAGATCCCCAGAGCTCCAAGCTCCTGCTCTGAAGCGAGCTGGAACAGCAACACAGCTCTGCTACGACGTTTAGAGAGAGAAACTCATGAGAGAGAGCAAAAACAGGGCCATGGCAAGAAAATTCTCAGAGCTTTGGGGTGCAATTCATGCTCTGGTAAGAAATCAGTGAATATAGAGGAGAAAAAACCGCCCCAAAATTCAAATTTAACGGCTACCTGCAATAACAGCGGTGCCGTAATTTCGGTTAAATCCGGAGAGAATGCAGAATTCCGGCGTCGGAAAAATGAGGAAGCATTCTCCTTCCCGGTTTTGGGCACCCAAGGTCCGACGGCTATAGAGAAGCCACGTGTCTCGCTCGAGATCTTCGGGTCCCCATTATTGCAAGACGAAGAGAGAGCCCTCGCTCTAAAGAAGCGGTTACTGACTCTCTCTCTAACTGACACTGGCCGGGAATTCCATAACTCGACGAGTTCCGGCAGGATTCCAGCAAATCAAATCATTGTCCCGGCGCCTCAGACCGACTTTACTCCAAGTCAAAGAGGTCTCAGGCCGAGTCAAAGGAACGAGTCGGACGTGGAGAGTGACTCGAGCTCCGACCTATTTGAGATAGAGAGCTTTTCCACGAACTCCCACCAAATTATCCGGCAGCCGGAAGGTGACGACTTCGCTGGGAAAGTGTATTACGAGCCAAGCGAAGCCAGCATCGAGTGGAGCGTGGTCACCGGTAATTTCTCGGTGACACCAGACTCGGGCGATTTTCAGGCCACCAAAGTCCAAGGCCGGGCCATTTCGAAGACAACGATCTCCGGTGCCTCCATCCGTCGGAAGAGGAGGAGCGGCGGTTTTTTCATGGGGTGCCAAAGCGCGAAGGCAGTGAGGGTGATGGGTGGGTCCCACACGAAGACACGCGGCAGGAATCGGGAGAGGTTCTCCACGATGAACAGCTCCGATCCTTCTCACATGCGGATGGTGGCGGGGAGGACGATCCAACGATCCAGGCCTTTGCACGAGCCTCGAATCGTCGCTATGTGATGAAGGAAAGATGGCACGCGCACGGGGTTAGGCCCCTAGGCTTATGCACCATGGGCGGATTTTAAGCACTTTGCAGGAAAATTTCTATGGTAAAATGGTAATTTCCTATTGTGTTTAGACAGGTCTCGTACCGGTAGTGTTTTGGTGTAAAACTGGATTTGGTCAAAAACTTGTTAAAAAGTACAACCCAACCGACTTGATTGTCCAAACATAATGACCAAGTCTTTTTCTAATAGATTAAACTATTATTTATGTTTTTTAAATATTTTTTAAATCTGATTGATTCGGTTCGCCGATTTTGTTTAGACTGGACCCTAGCTGATTCGATACCCCATCCGATCTTGAGAATATTGGTTTTAGAGTCCGTCCTCCTTGTTTTTTTTTTGTTTGTTTGTTTTCTATCATTTCCATGTTTGTTAAGAGTAGCTAAGGACTTTCTAATGGTCAATAAGCCTTTTATACTTATGCATCCATCTTATTTTTTGTATTTGTTTGTACCAAACTTTGGAGCTATGAGAATGTTAGATTATTGATTTCATGGCAACGAACCTGTATTCATACTGATCTATTTGTATGTTACCGATAAAAAAAAATTGCAGCTATAAGAATATAAATTTGGTACAAGGAGATCACAATCATTATTAGTTATAAGATATAAAATTTGACAGCTTCGATTGTGTCATAGAGTTGGAAAAAACATTTATTGGACTTTAAGAATGGCCAATAGCATGCTTCTAATTGCCGAATCTTATATCTAACATTACGGGGTGATTGTCATATGCTTGTACCAAAAGTAAATGATTATCATATAGGGATCGTATACTATGAGATTGTTTACCTTTACTACAAGGAGATCTACTTGTAGCCATTAGATGTTAAATTTGATAGCTTGGGATATGTTATGAAGTTCGAGGTTTTTTTGTTTTTGGAAATGAGTCTAGTCAATAATACTCTTACCTCTATCCAATTTGAAATCTGACGGAAAAGAATAATTGTAACATCCTTGTATCAAAAGTAAATGGTCTCTTCATATACGTTTCTTTATTATATATTTTTTAAAAAATAATTAGTCTATAATGAGAGAAATAGTGTTTAATTCTATTCAGGCTTCGACTTGTAAGGATTATGAGTGCAAGTCACCCAGTTCAACTCGAGCGATTATGAAATCATACTAGTGATTTTTTAACAAATAAATTAGGGTTAGAGGGAGACTTAGAGTGACTCTCAAGGTTTTGCCGCCTAACTCTCGCCAAGCCCGACCGGAGCCAACTCGATGAGCCTCCGATTTTTAAAACACTAGGACAAAGAAAACAGGGGTAAAGAGTAACCAAAATCTATCATTGATTGAAATTGTCGTTTGACTTTAGTGCTTGAAAACATAGGGTTGGTGATCAATATCTCCTTGCCCAATCTTTCAAGCTAAGTTTGAGTAGATTGAATTCTCATTATTGTCAAAATATTTTGAGTTCTTTTTTAATGCTTACACTCTAATCACTAATAATCAGGAAACAAAACCCAAAAACTCCCAAACATTGTGAAGCTATGGCCTAAATCATGTTGTCAAAAGAGTCGGTAAATGACACCTGATTGAGAATCTACTCCTAACTATAGCCACTTAAGTGAAATAGAAGCTAACAGAAGATAACAACACACCTTTGTCTCCAACAAGCTTAGTCAAAAAGCAACTACACTTTCTTTTGTAACTGACAAGGGACAAAGTTGTCACCCTTAGGTGGGTCAAGATAAAAAGATCTTATAATGGCTACAATGGCATAGTAAATAGTGACAAAAGATTGTATAGATTTCAACTATAAGTTTTCACCTACAAAGACTGAGGGTAGAGAGTTGATACCATTTATTTTTTATATGGAAAAGTCACAAGCACCCCCGTAGTTGTTGGATGTGAAATTAAGCGGCTAAGTATGTGTCATTAACTGTGTCCACAGCATAAAAGTTTTCTTATGAGACTATGTGAAGTGATATACTCACAGCCTTCAAATATGAGGGTCGAGGGTGATTGTAAGCTTCTTGTACAAGAGGCAAAACCCTTATAGTAAGGGCAAAATATATATTTGCTACTTCACCAGGCCCTCACTCGAAGTAATTGTTTAGGAACCCAAATTTTGAGGATGTGGCCTACTCAAACTAAACTACCGACCAACTAAAAAGCAAAAAAATAATTGAATTCACATTTTAGAAGTGCCTGAACAAATTACGTCCTAGGATTGAGCACAGACAATCCAATGTTTGGACAATAGATGTAGGTGTATAAGAACTCAAAATTCATTTTCTCTTTTGAAATTGTTTACCTAGTGATTCCAAAAGTTGGTTCGAGGATTTTAGATCAAGAGAATCCTCCTAGATGGTTCTTTTGCCCATAACAAATGTACAATTAAATTAATAAGAACACAAATTACATTTAGTACAACAAAAAAATGTACATTTTGCTGATGTTTTGTAATAAAATAAAAGAGCTTAATTTGCACATAATCCATTATATTCTGCGACTATTGATAATTGTCAACAAATTCATATGAAGTTATTAGACAATTATTGATACTATCAATTAAGAAATTCCAAAGGAGGAGATGGAAACTAGAAGGGGTTAAAACTTTAGCTTACACATTTTGATTGAGATTCTCACAAGATCACTAGCTAAGACTGAAAAGTACATCAAACATGTCTTGTAAATTTTCTCATGGAACCTAAAGGGACACAGTTCTCATTGGACTTCTTACATTTGCTCTAGAAGATTCTCCCTTTTATCCAATAAAAACTAGTAATAAGAAGCCACAAGTTTTCAAACAAATTTGCACTTAGTGAACAAATTTTAGAAAGAATGGCGAGGCATTATCTTGTATAGTGTGCCAATGTAGATATTTGTTTCTCACTTTTTTCACAAGATCACAAGCTGAAAAAGGTCTGTAAAGCATGTCTCAAACATGTCTGGCTACTTTTCTTTTTTGGTGCCTAGAGGGAGATAGTACTTCTTGGTCTCTTCCAATTTTCTTTGGCTTCATATCAACAAAGGATTGTGGGGTTGCTCTATGTGTCACATCTCTATGAATCAAACAGGCTCTCTAGTTTAAGATGTTTCTTTAGGATCCATCATCTTTGGCTTAGTGGGTGGGCACAAGGGCCTAACATCTGACTTCTATGGTTTAAAAGTTCCAGCTTACCATAAAAATCATAAAGCGAAACAATTATATGCTCCTGTCCGAGTGTGTCTTACATTCACTTCCATTGGTAAAATCCTATGCAGGAAAAATTTACGGACTCGAAATTTTGGGATACGCTCTACCTAGAGCCCAACCTAGAAAATAAATAAATGGTTATGTTAGAGTACTCATATATATGAGTATTTCCTATTATACTCAATTTTTTTTTGGATACTCGTATACCATTGTCTTGTAATACCATTTTTTTTTAACATGGGCATTTTTTGTAATTAAGAGGGTTAGAATAGATATTTTTATGATAAAAAAAAAAAAACGTAGTGGTATTTTTAGTAGTTAAGAAGCAATCATTGGTCCATGTTAGCGATATCACAATGATGTCATCCTTTCATATAGGCAATAAATAATATTCTTTCAATCAAGAATTTCAATTTTATCTTTGATTAATTACCTCAAATATCCTAGACAAAAATGCTACTTCATAGTTAGGCAAGAGTATCTAGTATCCCAACATATTGAGTATATTAAGAAAATTTATAATCATATGTATGAGTATCTTAATATAACCCATAAGAAAATTATATGCACTGTATCAACCTGAAAAAAGTAACATCCTAAGATTGAGCAAAGATCATCAAGTTTTTGTACATGTCGATTTTAAGTATTTAGGTACTCAAGTCTATAAACCCATGCCCAGCTTGCGAGTCTAAAATATAACCAAAAATTTCTGATAAAAAAAAAAACTCCTTAGAAAATCTTTTACCAGAGGGAATAAGTACATAGTATGCTCCTACAGGAGTGCACTGTACATGCTAAAAAATGACTGGGTGCTTCACGATAAGCATTGTAAGTACATGCAATTTGGCAAACATGGAATTCTCATTTGAGCTTCCATGGTCCACACATTGCTGAAGTACGAAATGATATTCCATTCAAGTTTCTTGTTTCCAGTTCTCCTTTTCCCTAACCAAGAAACTGGTAGGAGTCCTCAAAACTGTGCATCCATGAGCTCAGAGAGAGAGAAAGAGGGGTCCTCAAAACTGTGCATCCATGAACTCAGAGAGAGAGAGAGAGAGAGAGAGAGAGAGAGAGAGAGAGAGAGAGAGAGAGAGAGAGAGAGAGAGAGAGAGAGAGAGAGAGAGAGAGAGAGAGAGAGAGAGAGAGAGAGAGAGAGAGAGAGAGAGAGAGAGAGAAGAGAAGTAAGAGTAGAGAGAGAGAGAG